CTTGAATAATTTCAATAATTATGAAATTAGCACCAAAAATAATTGCTGGCTGTTCTTTACCTTTCTAAAAACCAGATGTAAGAAAATGTCAAATATGTGGGGTCACAAATGTCAGTAATTATCTATCCCATGGGTTCTTCTAGTCCACAGGGATTGGACATCGTCCATTCACACTCTCCTTGATTCTAGTTGGTTATTAACACTGTTATTCCCTTTATCTCACAAACTTTTGAGGGAAAAACAATGCAAGAGAAAGAGATGATCATTTTGACATTGGTCCCTTGTAAGCAAAAAGAAAAAAATACTCAATTTAATGAGATAGTCATAAAATGGGAGAATTCTTCTCTTTTTCTGAGATAGAAATGAAGGACATACATATGGCTTAATATATAGATATACCTGGTGTGTAGAACCCAAATTAGTATTTCCACCTTGTTGGCTCTCTTTTCAAAATACAAAAACATATAGCCAAATGCTTTCTGCAATAATGAAAATAAATAAACTATAGTCAAATGTATATTTAAACATATATTTGAAAAAAGAAAAACCTCTGTGGGATAAGTAGCATTTTTTTCATTTTAAATAAGAGAAAAAAACAAGTCTCAGACTTTAAATATTATTTAAAAACTCACACAGTAAAACTCATATTTAAACTTCAAAGCCCACTCAATTTCTAGTATATCATGGAATAGGATGATTGCCCTGATATGAAGGTTTAGTCAGAAAGTATATTTCCATATCTCAAATTTCAAAATGGAGCAGGTTAAAATCCTAGCAAGTGTCTTGGTGACAATATTGCTGAAATGGAGTGGAGAGAACCATAGATTATTGGAATGAAAATTATTTTCAACCATAGGACAAATGAAAATAAAAATGTATTTAATTAAAAATGAGTTTAATGTTGCCTAGGATGCTAGAGAGACAATCTGAACTATGTAAGAAAGTCCCCAAGTTGGGGATTAGGGGTGTTACAGCTGGTCACTTGATAGTAGCTTGGTAGATATAAGACTGGTTTTAAGGAAAAGCGTTTTTCAGGGGGATGAGTATAGGAGAGGATAAGATGAGAAACAGTGGCTCCGATGAGAAAGAAAAGAATGTATACACATGATCACGAGGCAGGTGATTATGGAGCATTGAGAAGCATCAATGCTAAGGTAAGTTATATAGAAAACAGAACAAAAAGATAAAGTAATAAAGAAATAGGAAGCATTTGAGAATGTTACAATTCAAGATTTAATTGTTTGGACATGTTTATCAAAGAAGAAGCTGAATATTACTTGTTTTAGTGTTATACCACATATATATATATGTCCCTCTTCTGGTCATAAATCTCCTCCAGGCAACATATTATGTACATGTGAAAATCAATGAACTTTCACGATATGAAGTAACTACATGATTAATTAGACCTGTAAAGAATGGATTTAAATTTATTACTAAAGTACATTCTTTTAAAACAGGTAGTTAAAAAGATATTAAATGATGATAAAGTGTTAGAATGAAAAATATATCACCACGTCTTCAAAATAAAAATTCCATTTTAATAATCTTTGAGCTTATTACCAGACATACCTTTCAGACATTTATCAAGAAAACAATTAAAAATGTTTTAAATGTTTTGTAACCTAAAGAATATTCAGAGAATGGATTTCTATATATATAACAATGTCCATGTAATTCAAGTAGCATCATTTTAGGTATGATGCCACTATATATGGTTCTATCACTTGGATAAACAAACTTTAAACACACAAATATTAAGAAGTTAAAAATATTGGAATTTAAATAGTGAGGTTCATGGGGATTTGATAGTATTCTTGACTGAAGTTAAATTCATAGATCTAATACCTTTTCTGTAAGATGAGGGAAGCTTTAAAGAGTTTTCTTGGACTTCAGGCCAATAAGATCTACATTTTTTTCTGCTTTAGTTTTATTTTAGTTGCATGTTTCTCCAAGTGCAATGCATTTATGATAAGAAATAAAAATGACAAAAGAGATTATAATGAAAAGCCATGCCTTGTTTGTTCTCAATCTCAGTCTGATGTACCAGAAACTGCTTCTTTTAACTCTTTTCAGTTTTATTCCTTCTGATGTTATCTCAATAACTATGTAAAATAGTTATACTTATTTCTTCATTTAATAACTGTGATATTGTGATTAATAAAAAGAAATACATACTGGGTTTTCACCCCTGCTTTGGGACAGAGTTACTAAAAGTCTTGGAATTTCCTGTATGATGACAGCAATAATCTTGTTTTTTGTCATATTGCTGAGGGTATTTTGAACCACACCCAAGGATGGGCACTGGCTGCCCAGGGACACAACTGTGTGATTAGAGGGTCAGGACTTTCATTTCATCCCCATCTGCCTGGGAGGGGAGGGGGGCTGTGTAATGAAGCCTCCATCAAAGCCAAAAAGGATAGGATTTGGAGAGCTTCCAGGGTGGTGAACACATGAAGATTTAGGGAGAGCAGTGCACTCAGAGAGGGCATGGAAACACCTCACCCTTTCTCCACACTGTGCCCTAGGCATCGCTTCCATGTGGCATCTCTTCCACTTGGCTGTTCCTGAGTTATATCCTTTCATAATAAATTGAGAGTCAAGTAAGTTAAATGTTCCCTGAGTTCTGTAAGCAGCTCTAGCACATTAATGGAACCCAAAGAGGAGGTGGTTAGAATCTCCAGTCTACAGCTAGTTGGTCAGAAGCACAGGTAACAATCTGGACTTGCAACTAACATCTGAAGTAGAGGTGAAGTTCAGTGTTATAGGACTTAACCTGTGGGATCTGTTACTACCTTCAGGTAGACAGTGTCAGAATTGAGTTGAATTGTAGGACACCCAGCTGGTGTCCTAGAATTGCTTGGTGGTATGGGGAGTCATGCTTCCCAGACACACCGGAATTGAATGGAATCCGAACTGGGTGCAGAATCTTAACAACTTTAGACAATATCCAGTAGATATCATATGAATACTGAGGATTTAGATTATTTACATTATTTCTTTGACCCAACGTTTAATAAACAAATTATTACTCCTTTTATTTGTACTTTTGGTAAGAGTTTTAATGTTATACTTTTAGATATTATACTCAAACATATTTTGAAGCAATATGTATTCAATATATCTTGTAATTCTACAAATTTTAAGATAAATACATGCCTACCTATATTCTCAAACATTTTCTTCTCAACTATTAAAATTTCCAGTTACACTCATAATTTTATACTTTTTAGGCCACTACTGTTCACATTTTTCTTAAAATCATAATAAAATAAAAATACAAACTTTGAAATCACAGTTCATTTTCTACCACCACTACATTTTCTACCACCATCGAATGTTGCCACTGGAAAGTGTCTAGGAGACTACTGTGCACTGGTTACCAGTCCCAGGGGAGGACTCTCAACACCTCCACCCACTGCATCGTGATATCAGAGTCATAAGAACACAACCCAGTCAAGCAATGGATGAAACAATACTTACTCATATGTGAAAGAGATAGAGTGAGATCACCTTAAATAGTGAGCATTGGTCCCTCAGGGTGAGCGGGTCTCTCTTGGAGTCAACCCAGGGCAATTTGTCTACATGTACCCTCCCTGATGAGGACAGATATGACAGTGGGTTTGTCAGGCATCATATGTTGTACGCACTTCAAGCAGACAAAAGAGTATCCGTTAAGCCTGAAACAGGGTAAGATACCGCCACATGAGGTGACAAGCCCCGCACAGGCTGTGTGGGTTCTCTATCTCTTGATCAGAAAGTGTTGCAAGCCCCAGGCCCAGTCCTGAGTGACCCAGTGAGGGCGGAAGGATGGCAGGCACAAGGCAACTGCCTTTCCCGACAGGAAGTCTAATTTAAATCCACTTCTTTTCTTGCATAAATAAGTTTGTTTTTGTCACATTCAATAAGCTTTTCAGATCTCTTTATTCTTAATGTTTAAAATTTTGTGAAAACTTTCTGTGTTTGTTTGTTTGTTTTTCCATTTTGGTCATTGAGTATAATCTTCAAATATAAATATGTGGTTTAGTCTCTAAGCATTTTTTATATCATTTCTTTAACATATTTTCCTCCCGGTATTGTCTGTTCTCTCTTCTAGAGCCCTCTACTGGGCTCTTTTCGCACCTTTGGATGACATTACGTCTGTTTTCCATTTTTATTTTTTTTTTTTTAGCTTTTAAACACATTTCCTCAAATATATTTTTTGCATTAATAAAAAGTTTAACTCTGTATACTTAATACGTATTGATGTTTATTCTATGTATGTATATATATGTATGTACGTATGTGTATTTATTTATATACGCACACACAAGTTCCTGTGTGTATAAATTTTTCAACAGTGAAAGCAGCTCAATCCATCTCTTGAAAAGTGGATATATTACATACATTCCACATACATATATCAACATATATCAACTTTAAGAAACTAATGCCAAGTGAAATATGAAGCAAAGTGAGATATATAAAAATAGCCAAACAATGCGTTATCTAGGAACATAGACAAATTACATTTATAATTTACAATACATAATTAAGTTATATTTATATTCATAATATATTTATTTGTATATATGTATAATTATGGCTTCCTAAGTAATGAAAGAGAATGGAAGACAATGGAACGGTTTGTGTGGAAAAAAGGCAAAAAATCAGTAAATTAAAAAAAAAAGTTGTTTCATAGCCCCATGATGAAAATCTCTCTGTGTGATCATATAACAAAATGCACCTAACTAATGCATATTAATTTATGTTCAGTAAATTTGTCACTGTTCTTACAGTTAAGGGCTTGTTGTCTGACTTGCATGGAAGCCAAAGCTATCACACTGGCTTTTGAGAAAAGTAACAGCTTTACTGAGAGGTCAGCTAGCAAGGAGACAGGACTCAGAGCTCAAACCCCAAATCCAAATTCTTCTTAATATTAACTCAATAGAACGCCATCTCTCCATTTGGTGGAATTCCTGAAGCTTTACATGGGAATCACTTTGAGAAGAATCACTCAAGTGTTTACTTCAGCAGCACGTATACAAAAATTGCAGTGATGCAGAGAAGCTTAGCATGACCTTTGTGCAAGAATAACATGTACATTTGTGTACTCTATATTTTTTCATTGTTTATTTGGTCCAGAGATTTTGTTAAGGTCATAAAACATTTTGGAAATAGATGTTGGTGATGGTTGCACAACGTTGTGAATGTAATTAATACCACAGAATTTATGCTTAAAAATTGTTACAGTAGCAAATTAGATATATGCAAAATAAGATTTCAAAAATACAGCTAATCTGTAGAGGTTTCATTACATTGCATCGTCATTCCTCAATCTCCTTACTCTTGTAACAGAAAATTGGAAATTAATTAGAAAGGCAAGGTTATCATTATTTGGTTTTTTTTCCCCGTTTTAAAGCGGAACAATAAATAGAGCAGTGATTGACAAATGGAATACACTGAAAAATAAACAAATCACCTGTAATGAAAGCCACGAAGGACTTTTTTTTTTAATATCACAGGGTCATTCCTAAAAATATATTCCTTGTTTATATAGAAATTGTTTTGCAGCGTCTGTGGGTATGTTCAAAATTTGTTTCTGAATCCCTTGCCATTTTGCTAGAGCTGCCCCCTCACCAACTTCATTTTCCTTATTTATTATGCT